TAGGGAGGGTTTATGTATAGGAAGAGAGTGACTTAGAGACAATTTTTAAAAGTACATGATCATAATAAGGAAACAGACTGGACAACATAAAAGGTCCTATTTCTAAAAACCTTTCCTGAAAAAGAGAAAAAAATATCCAAGGTGACAGCTGAGGACCACCTGATGGATGGTGGAAATAAGATGAAATCAAGGGAGGCCAGTAGATAAGTTCCACACTTCATAACTATTTTTGCCACAAGAGACATCAAACTAACTGTCAGTGGGTTGCAACAGGAGAGAAATCAAAACAAGGAAATTACTTATAAACCTCCTGAGTCTGCAGGCACCAACTATAGTATAGCACTGTATTTTCTTCTGCAGCCAGAAAATGTCTTTCTTTGGTTTTACCAAACTGCAGTGTTTCCATCAGGTTATGCCATGAGCTCCTGACAAGTGTCCCTTGTAAATATATTCCTTTTCATTTCTATTAATTTGCTTTGACAATTTCATAGAGGATGTTCCTTGGCCAACCTAGGACTTCCATTTTCTGTGAAAGGACCAGAGCTCAAACGTTCAGCCTTGTTGTCCTAAAAGGTCTCTGATAAGCAGAGAGGTGATCAAGCGATTGGCCAGCTACTCATGCCATTAGCAGGGAGACCATCACACCATAGAAGCCCATGCCAGCTCTGAAGCCCCGTTCTTACTTTGGATCCAAACAGTTGCCCATCCTTACTAAAAAAAAAGCTACTATAGCTCTGAAGTGCTTTGGGAGTCGTCACAATGCTTCAGAATCTCCAATTTCATTGATTTGAAGCAGATTTGTGAATCTGCTTTGATGGAGGTGATTCGATCAAAGCTCTGTTGAATCAAATCACCCTTTCGAAGCTTCACACAACTCTAGCAGTTGCCTCCTCCCTCATCTCCATCTCTCCTTCCCACTCCACATTACCCTCTTCTGCATTTCCTGCCATCGTCCCCCAACAGACTCTCCATCACTCAGTAGCGTATAGTTGAAAGGAAGATGGTGACCAAAAAATGGTACTTGTCCGATTGCTGGCATTGCTTGAACTAACAGATATCCCAGTGCTGTCTGAAAGAAACTCAAAAAAGGCTCCTTGCCCCGGTTCTTTCACGGCAATACACTCACAAAATCCTCTGGGGAGAAAAAAAAAAATGGAAGGAGATAATTGAAACAGAATAAAGGACTGAAGTTTTATCCCTGCATGTTCTTTTTGCAGAGAGGCAGACAGAACTAGTTACTATTTAATTGTTTTGTCACTTCTTTTTATCCCTTTTTTACACCTGCAATTTTATGACTCCAAGGGAGCTCTATTATGAAGCCGTGATAGAAGAAAGGAAGTCTGAGTGCTTTCGTTCAGGCATTCCAGAAGCATGCCCTGGAAATTAAGGCTAGAAACTCTGCTACTGACTGTACAATACTCCGAAATAAATTCCTATCAGGCTAAGCCTCAGGGGCAATAGGCTCTTTGGCCAGATATGTTCCACTTTGCCTTTCTTGTTCAAAGTGCAGTTTCACGTTTCCATCAAGAAAGCTGCTAAGGCCCATTTCACAAAAGGGGAAAGCTCTGTTTTCGCATTGATAGGTTATATTATAAACATCAGATCCTAATCAGAATTGTGTTACACAGCATGCATAGAAAGCATGCATAGGAAGCCACGTCCAGGCACTGCTGGAAATAATTCTGCAACAGCATCCTCTGCTGGCTAATTAATTGCGTAAACATTTAGAATAACTCTTTTTTTAAAAGGTGAGCAGTAATATAGCTAAGCAGCTGCTTAATATTGGAGAAGCTGAAGACTTAGATGCTGTCTTCCAAGAGCTATTTTATAAATTATCCTGTAACTGTGGTTTTACCTGCAATTTAATTGAATCTGAAATAGTATTAACTAAAATAAAAATGAGCCTGTGAACAAAAATGCTATATTTTGAACATTTAACAATAACACTGCATGTCTGATATACTTTTCTCAAAATGATGCAAAGGAAAGGAATATACATCTGCTAACGGAGTTCTAGATTTTCCTTTAGTGAATGAGACACACTGATCCACATACAAGTATTTGAATTAAAGGAAATAGTGAATGCAGAATAACTTACTTTTCCATTTGTTGAGACCATATGGGAAGTCAGCCCACTTCTTTACTCCTGGATACCAAACAATATCTGTGACATGCTCAGGATAATCTTAAGAAGGGTCTCCCCATCAACCACTGAACCATTGTGGCTGGAAAATCAAGGAACTGTAGTGCCAACCCATCTAAATTTCAGTAGGTCTCTCTCTACTCTCCTAGAACCTGGCATGCAACAGTGTACGTGCTGCATGGCAAATTAGTAGTCGGAGTTGGCTGGGCAGATAATCAGAAGCACTGGTTCATCCACTCGATCAAGAGGCCTGGTCTTGATCCATAAAACTTGGCAACTACTATCCTATCTCTAACTATCCCTTCCTGGGGAAGGTTATTGAGAAAGTGGTGTGGCTGCAGGTACATAGGATGCTGGAGGATACAGATTTTCTAGACCAGCCTTTCTCAATCTTTTACCCTGGAGGAACCCTTGAAATAAATTTCAGGTCTCAAGGAACCCCTGCATAAATATGAAAATTTCACAATACAATTCACTTCTCTCCAACACAATCCACTTATTACATTTACAACAACAGCAAAGTGGCAAGCCAGCAGCTGAGTTGCGGTAAGTAAAAATTCTCACCACTGAGAATGCTAGCATTGTGCAGTACACAAAGTTTTAAAAAATGTATTTTTCCCCAATCACTCTCTTGTGGAACCCCTAGCAACCTCTTGTATAATCCTAGGGTTCTGTGAAACCCACTGAGCAAAGCTGATCTAGACCCTTGGCAGTTCAGCCTGGGCTTGGGCCAGAAACTGCACTGTTCACTATAATAAATGATCTGTGACAGGACTTGAATGGAGGACCATCCTTGTCTTCCCAGAGCGGTGACTTTTGATACTGTCAACCAACAGTATGTGTCTGGATCATCTGCAAGGGTTAGGTATATGGTACTACAATGGTTCTGCTCCTGAGATGGAAGTCCAGATGGTGGTTGGGATGGGGGGAGGGTGGACCTAAGTTGTGTCAGGGTTCGGCCAGTTTCCCTGGTCTGTGCAACATATACATGAAATGGCTGAGAGACTCCAGGATTGCATTATCTTTGTCTCTTGACGGGGTTGTGCTTCCCCAAAAAGAACAGGCTTGCAACCTAGAAGCTGTCTTGGACTCACAGCTCCTGCTCAAAGAGCAGGCGGAGACAGCAGCCAGGAGGGCTGGAACTGGGTGCACTGACAATGGTACTCATCATCTTCTCATCATTAGGTTAGGCCACAGTAGTTTAGTCTACATGGGACTTGCCTGGAAGACCATCTGGAAAAAATTCTAGAATGCAGCATGCTTAATGATCAGTTGCCAAGTTACATCTCTAATGAAGGAGTTGCACCAGTTACCAATAGGATTCTAAATACAGTTCAGGGTGCTGGTCACTACTTATAAAGCCCTATATGGCTCAAGGCATGGGTATCTTAGCAACTGTCCAATAATTTCTGCCCATCTGACCCAAGCAACTAGACTGCTGCTGCTAAGGGTGTCCACCTGCCGGGAGATACAAGAGGAGGGAGCCTGACAGCAAGCATTCACTGTAGCAACTCTCCTCCTCTGGAATAGCTTGCCCCTGGAAGCAAGGATGGCATCCACTCTAATGGCCTTCTAGTAGCAGGTAAAAACATGAGAAGTAATTATAGCGAGGTGCTGTAGTCAATAAATTTTAGCTTATTACCCTTAGTATTAAATTGGAGTTTGATTTGGATTTACTGTATTAATATATTAATTTAGTTTTGTGTTTTATATGCAAATTCTGTAAGCCACCTAGAGTCCATTTGGGTTTGGGCAGTAGAGGAAGGGAGGGAGGGAGGGAGGATCTAATCACTCTAGATTAATTCTGAGTTAAGTTCAGAAGGCCTGCCCACAGTTGGTAACGATACCCACCACTTACTATTGCCTGATTTTTTTTCTCTTAATCAGGACATTTTATTTAGTCTGAATAATCAAGATCAAATGCACAATCCCCACCCCCACCCCCGGTGTGAGCATTCCTTTTTATTTTTATTTATTTGATTTTTATTGATTTTTATTGATTGATTGATTGGATTTCTCTCCCACCCATCTCCCCTACAATAGTTGATGTCTAAAGGTTTTGGATGAATGAGTGGCCTCAACTTCTCACCATTCCCCAAAACGTGTTGGAAATTCTTGATGCGAGAAGTGATCTGGCTGCAAAATCTGTCACCCCATTGATCACCAGAACTGATACATTCATTAAACCATGTTTGTCATTATTCTTTTGTAGGACAATATGATTGAAGATATAAACCATATGAAGGATTTGGGGATACACTAGCAGCTCTCCTTTTGGTACATGGTCTTCACCTTCAATACCTTTGTGATCAGGCTACCATTTCAGTGATCATTAGTTAATCTTTCCCAACCTCATAACTTTACTGAGTTTTTTTCTATCTATAATTTTTTCAGTCCTACCCAGCACAGTTAAGCATCAGGATGATGGGATTGTAATAGATAATGTTTAGAGAGGACTGGCTCAAAGAAAATTTTCTAATCTCAGCAAGCCTCATTGTATTTTCTCAAAGATCTTAACAATACTTTGGAAAAATATCTGTCGACTTACAATGCTTTTTCAGGGTCTTACTTTTCTGTCACCCACTATCGTATTCTATTCACAGCTTTCAGAAGACTCCCTGCTCCTTTTCTATGACTTAGTGTGCAGTGAAAATATTCAACCACCACAACTGCACTCAGCTTGCAGAACATTTGCTTAGGATTGGTCTCAGCACTATGATGCCACAAGTTGTTAATCTTTTGCCATTAGAAATAAGTTTCTGTTACACTCTTTTCAAGTGCCTATGTTGTTTTCAATATTTGGGATGTGCTGGTTAAAGACACAAATACAACAAATCACAATTCCAAAGTTAGCTGACATCAAAATTGTTTTAATTATTGTTATAAAAGAGAATTAAAGAAGCACAATATATTACACATAGATGAAAACTTCTAGGAGTACAAAAAAAGATTAACACCCTAACCTGGAGCTAAAATTTGTCACATTTAGACAGATGCAAGACCACTCAGAAGGCAGGAGCGGAAGAACTATCCTGTGCTGGTTCTTGTGATAAAAATGCTACAATGAATTACTACGAAGGCATAATGATAGCCTCAGTTTATGGTTTTGGTTGAAAAATTGAGGAAACTCAAATGTGGAAGAGAAAACAGTAGTTAACTTTCTGTTTTAAACACTGCAACAAATAAGAAGGGAAGCTATATAAATAGAAAACCATAAAACACACTTTTAAATAAGAACAGTGCTCTCATCTACATATCTGGCACACTTGCAAAACTTTATGCAAACTACATCTCAACAGTAAACTTTATTGTACGTGCAGAGTTTGAAGTCACTGTAATAGCCACTTTTTGGTTTAAATATACCATGTATCTATGTGAATTTAAACAATAGTTAATCTTTTTACCTTTTGAAACTGCAAATATTATAATAGTGTTTTGGCTGGGATTTGAACACATAATCTATTTTCACACAAACAAGGGTTGGCAATGACCAACCGTAAATCTGGTGGCAGCTAATTTCATTTCCATAGCAAGCATCTGTGACTCACCATAAACAACTACTAAGACAATGGGAATTTCTGACTTTTCAACCCCTGTGCTCCTCACATCTGTTCCATAAACTTCAGAATAGAATGTGGGGCTCAAAGAAGTGAATCCATATTTTCCAAACTACGTGTTCCACTGCTGGCCTTGACAGCACGTGCATGTGGAACACCACACGGGAATCTATCTGTCCATGATGGCAGACATATAGTTGCAGTGCTCAGGAAAGGTGCTCCTTAAGGAGCTCCTTCTCTTTTATAATTGGGATGGGGCAAAATTAAAGTTTATCCTTGTCCTTATCAAAATACACTTTTGGTATCTTTCACAAGCAAGCGATTTCTTATTTTGCTACAGCTTGTTTTAATGACAGCTTTCCTCAGCAATTTGACCCCTCACAATATATAAATCAGAAAAATTGAACAGCTGTATATGTCACCTCATATTTAGCTATAATACCTTGCGTGTTAAAATAACTGTACATTGTGCATGCTAAATTAAAGTAAAAAGTGCTCCACACTTCTGATGAAAGACACTATTTGACTTGCAATGCTCTATATTAGGTCTTTATTATATAAGGTTCCTATTTGATTCAGTACATGACAGGACGATTTAAGAGGCAGGAATAGGAACTGCAAATACAGAAACTTAATCTGTATATAATACAAAAAGGACACTATAATTATCAAACTGGTACTGTATAATTTCAAAAGAAGCGATGGACGCTTTTTCTTCAGCTATATAAGCCTTTTATAATCAGTTTTGGAATCTTAAAGAGATGAACCGAACCCTTACAAACATACTGAACAAGAACACAGTGAAACGGCAACAGAGAAGCCCAGAGCTTGTTTCATTCTCACATCCCAAAATAACTTAATCTTTTCAGACGAACTGAAAATACATCAGATTATAGACATGCTTAAAAAGTTAAAGCAGTCAACAGGAAAAGTTAAAGGAAATAATCACAATTTAAAATTATAAACAGCATCTATAAGGCACTCTTTGTCTATTACTACATAAAAAAATCTTTTAACCTTCATTGACAGTTTTCTTCAGTTACTAACAAAGTATGTGTGCGTGGCTTTTGCCATGTAAAATATACGACAGACACATTGATCATCAAAACATAAGAAATTACATCTTGAGATAGATATTTCATTAAAATGTATACTGAAAATGCAGTTTCCAGTATTTTGTAAACATATTAAACAGTTGAGAAACTAGTGTTCTTCAGATTTATGCCAGCCAAAAAAAAAAAAAACACCCTTAGAAACATTTTATAATTTAATCAATGCAGCATAAGTTAAATCAGTAAATCAGTAAAATCTTGGAAGAGTTGCTGAAATTCTAATTTGCTGGTTTAATTATCACAAGCAGGACTTAATTGTTACGGCCAAAAATCCATTTCTGGAATAAGTCTGAGGGATTACATGATACCAAACTTGGATGTTCTCTGTTTCCCGTAAGGCACATATTGGATGCTGCATTGTACAGCAACTGGTCCTAGAATGTGAAAAATATTAATTTTAATCTCATGTTTCCTCTAAAGAGATTAAAGAGGCACGTATGCTTTACCACCACAATTCATTCTTATACCAAGTAAATTTCTCAGAAAATTAAATGGTTAAGTAGAAATTTGAGCTTTAGTCTGTCATTCCTGTAATTCCTAGATTCTCTCTGCTCAAGATTTTGTAGCCTTACTGCTTGTTTGAGGGCTAAAAGACTACTGACAAAGATAATGATTCAGTACCACATACTCTGAGATCCAGTCTGGTGTAGTGGTTAAGGTATCAGGCTAGAAACCAGGAGTCTGTGAAATCTAGTCCTGCCTTAGGCACAAAAGCATCTGGGTGACCTTGGGCCAGTCACTCTCCCTCTGCTCTAGGAAGCAGGCAATGGCAACCACTTCCAAAACGCTGCCAAGAAAACTGTAGGAACTAGTCGAGGCAGTCACCAGGAATCAACACTCACTTAAAGGCATACTCTTAATACTGAAAGCAAGTTAAACATTTATTCATGTGATTTAGCGCGCTAGAAAGTCAAGGTAGGTAACAGCTTGTGCAGCTGAAATAAAATGTGGCCTTGTACTTTAAAGGCGCTATTAAAATGCCTAAACTATCTAAAGATTTGTACCTAAGATACCTAAAAATTTGTATTTAAAATGTTGTTTGTAATAACCTGCCAAGAAGGGAATGAGAATCAGAAGACTTCAGATATTTCAGAATGAAAATGGTATTTCTATGTGTGTGTTATGTTTAAGACTATGAAAACAACTGCCATTATGAAATTTAAATGCAATGCTATAATAAACATATTCAGGACATATTTGGGCAAGCTACAGTCACATAGAGTCCCAACACCTTCCATGCAGTCTGTGAGCAAACTTTCCTTGGGTCACTGCCTAGCTCTCTTGGAAACAGCTGAAGAGTAGACCAACTGGTAGAATTCTTGGCTTGGGCAAGCCTGGAGGGGGAAGGATGAGTAGGTGAGCAAGAAGAAGGGATGCGTGCGGTTTTGGGTGTTTGTGCTTATAGGAATGAGAAAGGAAAGTCGTAGATGTGAACCTTGGGGAAAAAAGGTTGTCCACCTTTGTAGCCTGTTCTGTCTGATGGCAGGGGGCATGCTAAAGTAAGCCTATACTACAATTACTTAATCCTCATTTAAATCATGTCTGCATTTTGGGGCAGCCACCTCAAGAACATTTTTATAAGGCAAGCTCTACATTAAATAAACACATTATTTTGTAGAAAAATACCTTTCGGATCTCCCATTTCTCTTCTGCAGGAGTCCTGCTCTTCTTTCCTTTGAAACCACACTCATGAAGTTGTACTACTCCTTGAGAACCATGTAGGCATAGCTCCTTCTGGATATTGTGTCTAATTTCATGGTATGCAGTGTACTCAAAATACTACATAAACAAATGTCAGTCATCACTCAAAAGAATGATACAAATTCATTGCTTTATCTAATTTCCAAATAAATATTAATCAAACTCCATTGCATTTTGCAAATTATGTATTTATGCCACCGAACAGTGATGAGAACTGGAAAAGGTAATTGCCTATAACATAATCCAGCCTTTCTCAACCTTTTTACCTTGATGGAGCCCTTGAAATAATGTTCAGGCCTCAAGAAGCCCCTGCATAAAAACTGCCAAAAATATGAGAGCTTCACAATACAATTCCAAATTCATTGCTTTATCTAATTTCCAAATAAATATTAATCAAACTCCATTGCATTTTGCAAATTATGTATTTATGCCACCGAACAGTGATGAGAACTGGAAAAGGTAATTGCCTATAACATAATCCAGCCTTTCTCAACCTTTTTACCTTGATGGAGCCCTTGAAATAATGTTCAGGTCTCAAGAAGCCCCTGCATAAAAACTGCCAAAAATATGAGAGCTTCACAATACAATTCACTTCTAACCTACACAATCCATGTTTCACAACATTTACAGCAACAAAGTGGCAGGCTGACAGCTGAATTGCTGCATGTAAAAATTCCCACCACTGTAAGCACTGGCATTGAGTGGTGTGGGAAGTTAAAAAAAAAACTATTTGTTTTTCAATCACAATCTCTTATGGAACCCCAGTTGAGAAAGGCTGACATTGTCTATTTAAAAGATTGAATTAATGCTAAAATACAATTTCCTTCAAGATATGCAAAGCAGAGAAATGTGGAGAAGTATATATGTATCTGTGGCATATTCCTAAGAAACTAATTTGTAGAGAGCAGGGTTAGCCTGAAAGTCAGTGGAATAGCTAATAATCCTGTAATTAACAACCTTTTAAATGATGAAGAAATTCCAGCAATTTCAGAAGAAGATGTAAGTTTAAGATTTATTTATTACTATTAAATTCTGAAAGATGTAGGGGTTAGTTTTGGCCAAGTCATACTGAAAGTATCAATCAATGACAAAGATAGAAGAGTTTTTTGCTCTGATATTTAGCAAATGCTTTAACTGTGTAATAAGAAATATCCGCAGCTGAAATCTAGTACTGGAACATCTTTCACTAGTTTAGCCTATCGACACATGCATTCTAAAATATTATACTGTTCTTCATCCTTTGACAAAAGATACCATTTCACAGGAGAACAAAAGAAGGCTTGCAGATTGCTCAGTACTGCTGGTGAATAAAGAAACTGAATTCTTATCCACAGGTTCTGGGGAAGATGCTACATGTTGTAAACAAGCCCTGACCCACTGGCTGTGTGTCCAGGAATGCTCATTAGACATTCACCCATTTAGAAATGCAAAATACTCAAAATAGTAGGTGGTTTTTAGTTCAAGGAAGATCTCTCTGACCTCCCAGCATGAGGTTCTAAGTATGACAGGACAGATGACTCGGGCCTGGTTGCTCAATCACACACTGGCTCTCTCCTTGAAACTTCTAGAGGAAAGGAAAAAAGCAGGAGAGGAAGTAGAAAGGAAGAGTCAAGGTTATCAAGTTTACAAGGCAGGAAAGATAGCACAGACAAAGGCCAGAGAGCTGAAGCAGAGACAGAAACAGCAAGAGGAACTAGTGTAAAGTGGTCAAAAAGAACTTTAGAGAAATCAAAATCAAAGCTATTAGCCCACAGTTATTAGAAGATTTGCACTTGTCCTGGAACTGCCCTTACTTTGGCAGATGAGTGCAGTAGTATACTATACTTTATGTATATGTATGTGTATGTTTTACTATCACTGTTGCACAGGTGGAACACACAATCTCCTACTCAACAAGAGGCAACTGTAGCTGCCACCTACCATTTTAATTTCTTCACAATACTCCTGGCATGATATAATACTATTACAGAATGATGCAGTGTTAGTTCATAAGAGTATTCTGTGGGGAGCTAACAGTGCCTAGAACTCCCCAGGCTGCAAGCTCCCTTGACTTCCTTGCTAGTCAAGAAAGAAATGATGGCCCCCCCATACCTTTCAGTGTTAAGTGTTCAGCAACGTCCATTAAACAAATCTAGAGTAGAATATTGATGTGTTTGTTCTTATTTAAATATTTAAAAAGTATTATTATGTTATCTAATTTCTATATCTAAACAATGGTTTACCCATGGTTAACTAATTCAATTAACCCAATTTTATGGTTCACAGTGAATCAGAAACTAACCATATGGCCTGGGTTTATGCAATACATTAGACTAAAATATAGATGGCTACTTGGTAAGGGTTGCAAATACATCTATTATGTAGGTAAAAACTTAATTGTATACCAGTGAAACATGCAAACTAATTTGACAATAATTCCCTGTCCTTAAGGAATCCTTTCTACAGCAATTTTTCTACTGTGCTCCAAAAGATTTTAGAGGGCATTATGTTAACAGATAGCTTGAAAGATCTTTGGGACCAAATAGTCACCCTGTTTGACCTGAAAGAGCACTGAAGACCAATGCTATTCTGTAGTTTCCTATTTCAGAGGAAGCTTAACAGTAATTGTCTTTATAGATCTTGTAGTAATGAGACAGTGACAAGTTTAGAAAAGTACAGAAAGAGCATAAAGTTGTATGTTTATCTGTATCATGTATCTATGTATGTATGCATGTATGTAGGTATGTATACACATATATAAAGTAATTTTACCTGGTTTCCTCCAAGCCCATGACAAGTATACATAATTAATGGTTTGCCGCCTAAATTATTTTCTCCAGCATCCAGACATGCTCTTCTTCCAACATTTTTTAGCTAAACAGAAAGTTGAAATGGAATCATATGTCTAGAGTAGTATGGTTAACTACTGTACACAGACGGTCCTCTTTATTTGTGAGGGGTGCATTTGAGAGTAAAAGTACAAATAACAAAACCTTGAGTTCATGGAAATTGAGGCTTTCGGTTTCAGAACCTATAGTCATCCTCTTCTTCCCATGAAAACTTGCTCCTTCTTCCCATAGAAGCCATTTGCATAACGTACCAGTGTTTGTTCTTTCTTCTCCTTGCTTGGTTGTGGTGGATCTCAACCCAGTCACAAGGCTCTAGTATGTGGCTTCTGCATAGCAACTGATTTTCCCTCATGGAACAAGTTGCTCAACTGATGAATAAGAGAGTCTTCTCACTTGCACCACATGGTTCATGCTAGCTTTTATGCTCTGCATGACTCTTATATATTCAGTGGAGGGGCCTCTTGATTGTGCTGCTAGGTACTAATGCTGCCTATCGTCCACACCATAGCTCTGCAATATGCAGTCTTCGAAGTGAGTGTGAGCCATACAGCTGTTTCACAATCTTGGTGGAGGATCATCTTGATCATGCTGCTGGATGCTAGTATTACCTGCAGACAATTTGCAGTTTTCAGCTCCATGATCAGTTTGTGGGCAATTTTAGCATCCAGTGGCACAATTGAGAGGCCCCTCCATGAAGATGATGAAGAAGCTGTGTGGAGAATCCAGCATGAGTTCTGTGGTATGAGTGGGTGACTCCTTCCATCACTAGAGTGAATTACTTTGAAGGTGGCCAGCTGCTGCGAGGAAGCTACATGATTAGGCTTATCCAGTGAGAACTGCGGTGACAAGTCAAGGAGAAGCAAATATAGATACTTCATGCAAACTTCTTAACACTTGAAAAAATCACACACACACACACATATATGCATATGAATATCTATGTGTGTGTATGTATGTATGTGTATATATATTTCCAATAGAAGAGAATATCTGTAGCTCAGGGTTGAACTGTAGAGTTCTGGGTGCTCTCTGAGCTTGATTGTTTGCTTGCAGACATTTCATTACCCAACTACATAACATCATCAGTGCGAGTTACCTAATGTTACCTAGTTGGGTAATGAAATGTCTGAAAGCAAACAACCAAGCTCAGAGAGCACCAAGAACTCCATATATATATTTACAGACACCTGTCTGCCATTCTGTACATGCACAAAACAACAAAAAGCCAAGACTACAACTGTGGAAACAGAAAAATGTTTACACATATGCTGCCAAGGTCTGGTCTTTCCTTATCAACTGCAGATAATAAGATTGTCCATAACAAGACCCCCCCCCCCGTATTTACTTTGGATTTTTAAAAATATAGATATATGTATAAATATAGATATATATATATATACTCACAAATCCATATAATGTAGGATTCAAGTCTGGTACATATGCCTCAGGGAAAACATTGCTTAGGTACCAGGTAAAATTTTTACATTGTAATTGTTGTCTTAATTCGTGTCTTTTTGAGAGATTACCAAATGTTTTCTGTTGAAACAATGCTAAATAATTAGTATGCAGAAAAAAATTGAAAGTGAATTTCATTAGAAATAGTCCTTTTAAACAAGAGTGATTTGCAAATTAATTTGATTAAACAAATGTAAAAGTACTTTCTAAGACTGAAAAGAGAGGGAATGATGTAACTGAGAAAGATAACAGCCCATTGCCATATTTGCCATATTTGTCTTTAAGGAAAGAGTGGTGGTCTCTATGGCCTGAGGCGGCCCTGCTCTATATCTACCACATTTAGCAAGCTTGACAACAGCTATCTATGTGGACTCCCCGAATTCTTACGATTGGCCATGCCAGCTAGGGAATTCTGGGAGCTGAAGTCCACACATCCAGAAGTTGCAAGGTTGGGAAGCAAGTTAGTAATAAAACAGAATCCTTATCATGATGGACCATAAAAGAGGGCCTTATTCTTACAATTTGGTTTTCTTAAAAGAACAAATGAGATTAAAAGTTACATAGTTTAACTTATGTTAATATGTTAACAACAACAAACAACAACAACAATACAGTAAAGAAATACACATCCATGGTTTAGGAACCAATTATTTTGAGAAATGTGGAATTCCTCTTCCTTCTATATACATTGGCCTCCAGAGAGGTTTAATCCTTATAATCATACTAAATTAACAAAGGGGGGGGGGAAGGGAATCAAATTTGAAAACTGCAAGGAAATCTTTTTGTTGGAGGACATGGGTGGAATGCAGACTGCATATTATAGTCAATTAATAGATTTCAGATAATTGTTCCCACATGAGCTGCAACATAAAAAATAATTTGTCAAAAAGAACTGAGTGGCAATATGTCCGGTTCAAATAACAAAGAAACAAACAAACAAACAAACAGCTAAAACACGTCATTTATACAGGAGTTAACAGGCTCTACAAAATAATACCCCCCCAACTATTATTTTAAAAAGGTTCTTAAATTACACAAATAATATTTAAGAGTATAGGTAGACATAGAATAAGGACTTGTTCAATATATCCACAGTAATAGAAAATTATTTTGATATTCATACTCATATTTTATAGATTTATAATAACTATTAACAAAAATATTTCATGTATATCAAACACTTATACACTTTTTTTCAGGAAGAAACAGAGGAACTCAACTAATTGCTGGAGATGCGATGCTCAAAAACACAACACGGATTCATATGATTTGGTCATATGCCAACATTTCTCCCTTTTGTCTAGAAGTTATCCAATAATTTTGTTTTAGAAGACACACTGTTTTTCATAGATGCTCATCTCTTTTGAAATATAAACCAATGGTAAGCCAACTACAAGAGGACGAAGGAAATGGACATTACATACTCCTACAACTGTAGAAAGGTTAATATTATAAGGATGGAAGAATATCCACTCTCTGTCAATTATACAACAGTCTGAAGAATGTACTTCTTTTTCTGTATCTGAATAAGCATTCTAATACCAGGAATTTTAACTCTTTGGTCTATCTATATTATTCTTTAAATTTCATTTTCCATATGTTTCCATTTTTAAAATTAGTTAAACTAACTAAAATGTAAACATATTAATTTCACAGTCTTTGAAAATATATGTATGACTAACCAGACATTCTATGAGTGATGAATATTAATGTGAATTCTTGCTTTTACAAAAAATGCAAATAAAATGTAAAAAAAGAAAAATGGATTGTCAGTAAGATAAATTGATTTCTTGTAACTAGGTTATAAGTAAATTCCTTCCTCATCCAGAAGCTCCCTTATTGTCAGGCCCAAGGAACTCCAGGAGACCATGCAGATTCAGTTCAGCAATGTTTATTAGCTACAACCT